ACTGGGTGGGATAGCTTTGGGGGGGAGGCTAGGAGAGTGGGTGGGGGGCACTTGGGGGCCTGGGAGAGCAGGCAGGGGATGGGGCCTGGAGGGGGTCCCCTCCCCTGCCCCCTACTTACCAGCACAGAGTCCAGCTTCCTGTGGCAGCAAGTGGGGACTGCCCGAATCTCTGAAGCTCTCCGGATCTTTTCGGAATCGATTCAGAGGCTTTGAAGAGATTCAGACCTTTTCATTGGTCTCCTGATTCAATTTGGATTTGGAGATTCGGCTGCCAAATATCCTCTGAATCGAATCAGCACCTGAAGCTTCGTACAGCCCTAGTTATTATCACTATGGTGTGAAACAGACCCAGGCTGGGGTTGAATTTTAGTAGCTAGCTTATACCTGTGCTTAAATTTATACCTTAAGTTTACACTTTAGGACCAGGAACAGCTTGGAGGGTAGGCTTGAAAGCTGCAGGGAGCACCTGGAGAGGTGCTGCCACTGTTGCTGGAGGACTAGACTGCACTGGGGATCAGAGCCTGCAACTAAACAGACTGTGTGAATGGGCCCCAGAGCCCGAGGAGACAGAAGGTGGGAGAGAGAGCCTGAAGCTCTAAAGACTGTGTGAACAGGCCGAAAATGGGTGATACTGGGGCTGAGTAGCCCAGAGAACCAAGAGGACGAGACCAGGGCTGGGCCCAGGAGCAAAGGTCCAGGACACTGGACCTGGGCTGAAGAACACAGTCAGAAGAGGACCAAGGCCAGAAGGCCAAAGCCCAGACAAAGGTTTAAGATCTGACGGACCAAATGCTGTGTTCTAGACCACACTATCACTGTTGCAAGATCCCAGCCAGGCTCCAAAGTAGGTCCCCACCCTGCTGTGCACCCTGACAGCAGGGGTGGCACTAGGGGAGCACCTTGGTGGGGAGAAGGGGGGACTATAGCTACCCTAAAATTCCACATAGCCCCCTTTAGCCACCCCTCCCAGCAGTGCCATCTGCCACCACTGCATGCCTTGCACAGGCAGCAGTAGCTAAGCCTACTCCGCTCCCACCCGCAGCACAACTACCCCTTGGGCCCCGCACCAGGAAAAGGCCAATTCAGTGCTGCTGCAGCCAGTGCTGCTGGGGCTGGTCTCCAAAGAAACCCCAGTCTTTCACTATCACAGTGTAGCTGCTACTAAGGTCTCCATGGAAACCAGCCGCACCCTCATAGGCAGGGGCTGTCGGGAAATTTAGTCCACTGTCAGCCAGATTTGGCCTGCAGCCTGGACTTTGCCTGCCCCTGCCTTAAGGCAACTAGGGCAGTGGAGCTGTATCCCCGGAAATGGAGAGGCTGTGTAGTTAGGGTAGGATGAGCACCCCAAACTCACTGGTCTCTAAAGGCAGCCACCTCACTTCTTACTTAAATATTAAGGCATGGCGGGGGAATCAGCAGTGAGAGTGGGCTAGCAGGGCAGGATCAGTGTCAGAGTGGGCTAGTAGGGCAGGATCAAAGTGTCCACGAGGGGTGACACAGCTGTCCTTGGAGCCTGTCCTGATACAACACTAAAAATAGTACAGTGGATTTCTCTTACCATGGAGGAATGGTTGATTAGTATTTAACTGAAAGCAACTATCACTAATAGACAGACTAGTCTGTCTAGATCTTAGGTTCCACCTTGGCTGTGTTGCAACTCGATCTTCCTCAAGCAAAACAGCAATCACCTTTAAAAACACAATTAATAACACATAAAGACAGATCTTTACCTTTTGGAACATAAGGTAACATAAAAAGTAAATCAAACCAGAAGGTCATTTAGCCCCATACCGTGTCTCCCCCAGATGCTAAGGAGAAGAGTAGATATGGAGGGCCTAGCCAGGCTGATCTGTCCCCTACCCCTCTCCTCCTATAGCTTCCAGCACTGAAACCCTATGAAGTCCTAAACTGTAGCCCTAATTATAGTGTTTAATGCCCATTGATAAACCTAACCTGCATTAATTTGTCTAATCCTCTTTTGAACCTGGTTAGTTAACCAGGTTAATTTATCAGTCTCTTCAACACCTTGTGGCAATGAGTTTCAGCCTTTTTATCTGCAACTTCTGATCAACTCTCTTGCTAATTTCACTGATTTTCAAAATAAGGCTTAAAGAGGTCTGTCACTCTGCACAATTGCTCATAAAATAAATAGTATTTAAGTATGCAAGTTTCCCTTGCTTAATGTGGGTTCTGTATGTGGAAATTCACTCTTATGTGATCGGTGTGGTGGAAGCAAACACTCAGCTGCTTTGTGTGGTGCATTGTGGGAGTGATGCACACCAAAATAGTCTCCTGTGTGGCTCTGTGCTCCTTACTCTTTGTCTGCGACACGTGCTTCTGTAGTTGCCATCCCCATTACGGCTTCTAAGTGTCCCGCTACCTTATCTCCTACCCCTCTCCCTGCTCCATCAATGAAGCACAAGAGAACTTCACTAACACTGGATGCAAAATTGGAGACCCTTCACCACCCTTTCTTCACACCAACTAAACTTTCATCATCACCACCATGTGCTTGTGTACTGTCTGTTGTTGGTGAGTACCAAAATTGTCCTGTAAAAGTGGTAGACATGGGTCTGGAGGGCAGTATAGTCGAGGTCTGGGAACATATCCCTATTTGTTACACTGTAAAGTGGGTTCCCTTTATGCGAATTCTAGTTATGTGCCATTTTCCAGGAACTTGTGTACAGCCTAATGAAAGGGAAACTTGTATAGCTAGAAAGGACAAGTACTGTAAAGTGATCTGTTATATATTTTATACACACACTGCAAGCATATTCATCACAGAAATGTACCTGACAAGCAGACCGGAGAAAGTTTGCTAATCTCTGTGAATCGATTTTAGGTGTTAGACCAACATCCACAGACACATCACTGTTGCTTCTGGGACCTATAAAAAGACGCAAGGCTTCAAACAAGAACTAAAGTATGAAATCAATAACCAAAGATAACCAGAGGACCCACAAAAGGATGACAGTAAACAACACTGCTTCATCAGTACAATGGTACTAAGGAAAGAGAAGCTCCTGGAGGCTGACCTCTTTCCAGTCAAAGCAGGTCCAAGAGAGGGAAAATTCTAGCACCTGTCCCACTTCAGATTCAATAGGAAAAGGAAGTAGTTTCAGTATTTAAGGTCAGGGGTACTAACCTCCCGATACAATGGCACTTGCTCCTGGATGCTGTGTCCATTTTTCTAGAGTCTCTGTTTCATCAGTCTGAATGTCTCTCTCAAGATTATCCTCATTGCATTGAACATATGCCTAAAATAAAGATCAGAAGTCAAAGGTCTGCCTGAGCATTCATGGTATACCAAGCTAATGCAATTAATGCATGCCAGTTCTGTTTGCATGTGCTGTTGGTTGCACAATGATATGGCCAACACCACAGCTGGACACCTTTGGCCCCCTGGTCCAAATGACTGGCTTTTAATCTTCATACAGACTTCTAAGTCAGCTACTTACCTGTTTGGTGTTTCTTTTGCCAAAGTTCCTGATGTACATTTCGTATTCATTCATTGGAGGCAAATCGAGTAAAGAAAAGCTGACTGAAAAGTCCAGATCAATTAGTCGGAGTAGTTCTGAACTACGTGTCCTTTAAAATGAATTAAGATGAATTCAAAAATCCCAGAAAAATAGTTAAGATTTAAAGTTCATGCACATGGTATTTTTAAATAGCTTTATGGAATATTGTCCTGCAGAGCTAGCAATCTGTTGAGGCCTCCAACATTAGTATTTATTAGGGCATTCATACAAGATATATTTATACTAGAATTTCAGTTAATTGTGACAAGAGGAAAAGAACTGTAGTTGAAATTCAAGACTTGTTTGCAAACCCAGGGAAAATGTGTTATTACAGTTTAATGGACCAATTGTACAAAACAAGCTTTCAGCTGACCCATCTTCATGTCTAATATCTCCCCCAACTATATTGTATAATAAAAAAATCTCCAAAATATCACTACTAGAGGCTTTTACTCTTTTAATGACAAACGTCAGCAGATGTTGCTGCATATAAAAAGGTAGCTGAATCTCATTGGGCAAATCTACAATGCTTTCAAAATTATGGAGGAGGCTGAGACCCATGTTTCTGCACTAGGAAATTCTGCAATAACTGGTAACTCCATTTCAAATCGGCAAATGCAGAGAATAAAAATTCAGTTGCTGAGGGAACTGCACGATAGATTAAGATGTAACAATCTGGGCTTGACTGGCTTTTGGAAGGACTTGTAGAAAACACAGATCTATTTAATTAAACCAATCTTTGTCTGAATTATTAAAACTCCTATTTGTAACTGATCTTGAAACTGAGTGGGAGGACACTGTTCTTTAAACCCTAAGTTTCCAGCACTTGCAAGACTGAGATTTCACACAATTAATATTTTAAAGCATGACACCAGAGAGAGGATCCTACATTTGGCATGAGAATTGAAAAAAGCAGACTGGAGAAATAATAGAAGTAGCTAAGAGGAAAATTACCAAGGATAAAAAGGACCCGTATATTACATTTCATTTTCAGATGAAGACCAAGTACTTGGTTTTGCCACCACAGGAGAAACTGAAAATTGTGATTCTCTCAGTGTCCTTGTAGTTTCATCTGGGTAACACACTCTGCTTTATGGAGACTGACCTTTTTAACCGTGAAAGACATTGGGCGTGTCTACATATTCATTAATGCGCTGTAGTTTCATTAATGCGCCGTAGTTACTGCTGTAGTTTAATTAATGCACCATAGCTACTGCCTCACAGATCTGGCCTGGGTGGAGCCCTATTGTTCAGATCTGACCCACTGTTTAAATCATTGTGCTAAGACTTCCTAACAGAGCAATGAATCATTAGAAATGGAATGGATCTCTCCCCTGCCTTTGTAAGGAGTTTTGAATTCAGATTATTGTGTTTTCCCAAGGAACACACACCAGTGTTAGAGGCAGCAACAAAAGCCTGACACTTTGTACCATGTTATCTTAAATCATATTCTCTTCTACTACAGCAGTGGTTCTCATTAGGCCTGTGTGAAGCAGCAAGTATTTGCTTCAGATTTGGATTTGGCCGATTTGGAGGGATAATGATTTGACTTGGTGATTCGAATCACTGTCCTGATTTAATTTGGCTTTTTCGGATCCAGAGATTCGGCGCCAATTTGGAGATTCAGCCATAGACTATACAGGCAGCAGTGGACACAGCTGCCTCCAGCTGGTAAATCTGTTGTGGTGGGCAGAGGGGGAGAGAAGGGGCATGGGGGGAGCAAATCAATACCCCCACAGAAGGATTGGGGCTGAGACAAGCTGCCCAGCTGGGGTGGGGAAATGCAGGGCTCAGGAAAGGGGGCTCCTGCCACTACTCGCCACCATGCACCGCCAGTCTGGGAGCTGCTCTTTCTGTGGCTCCTCCGGTAGCTCTTGCCACTGGTCTGGGAGGGCATGGGAGTGGGCGTGTGCCCCCGGATCTACGTGGGGTGGGCTGGACTGGGCTGTGGTCTGGGCAGGTGGTGGAAGGGGGCTATGCTCCTCTGCTGCTCACCAAGCCGGGGTAAGAAGGCACAGGATGGTGCCACTGCGCTGCCTCAGACAAGTGGCGCATAGTGGGGGAAGCCACTCCAGCCTCCTCGCGCCTCCTGGACAAGCCATGGCTTTGCTCCGCCCCGCCCCGGCTGGGTGAGCAGCTGCAGGGCTTGGGGGTGGGCACTTGCACTGGAATCAGGGTGGGGCTGGCGGCAGGGGCTAGGGGGAATTTTAAGGTGACTGCAGCCCCCCATAGCCCCTGCTCCACTGCGCTCTGTGGGACAGGCAGAGCCAGGACTGTGCTCTGGGCTGGGGCTAACCATCTGGAGTGCAGCCCTGGCTCTACCCACCCCATGAAGCACAGCCCAGCAGGAGGCAGCTGGGGTAGCCTCCTAGACCACAGTCTGGCCCAGCCCGCCCCATCCTGATCTGGGGGCACACGCCTGCTCCCATGCCCTCCCAGAGCAGCAGCAAGAGCTGCTGGAGGAGCCACCAGAAGAGCAGCTCCCAGACTGGTGGTGCACGGCAGCGAGCGGTGGCAGAAGCCCCTCCCCAAGTCCCACGCCCCCCCTGCCCCAGCCCCAATCCCCCACAGCCCTCCCCCTCTCCCCACCACAACAGACTTATCAGCTGGAGGTAGCTGTGTTCAGCGTCGTTGAAGACTGCCGCCTGTGTAGTTAATGGACAAATCTCCGAATCTCTCCAAATCTATTTGGAGACTTCCAAATCGATTCGGACATTTTAATGGGTCTCCAGATTCGATCTGGATTCAGAGATTCAGCCACCGAATCAGACCAAATCTCCTAATCGAATTGGCTACCAATGCTTTGCACAGCCCTAGTTCTCATCCTTTTTAGACTCAAGGAACCCCTCAGAAAATGCCAGGTCTTAGCTTTCACTTAGTATTTTGAATAAAGCAAAATTATAGAGCAATGTTCTGTTGCAAAGAACTCAGGAAGAACACCACGGCAGAATTTTTTTTTGAAACAATGGCTTCCTATTTGAAATCTCTGGGTTTATCTTGTGAATCATGTGTAGATGTCTGCACACGGAACAGTGTTAATATTGTTCAGCTCTCTGCATCGCCCTTAAAATAATCTCCCAGCCTCCTGGCTGAGAAGCACTGTGCTACAGGCTATTCAATTGGGTGAAACTCCAGAATTTATATTCCTCAACACCTACACTATGAAAGGACATATAATAACCCTAAGAAATGTTGTGCAGAATGACAAATACTCGTTTCACAATTCGGGAAGAGCGTATGCTTTGCAATAAAGTGTAGTAATCTATACAACTTTAGTATGTAATTACAGATCAATCTGGATCCAGCACTGTAATGGTAAAATCTTCTGGAACACTTTCCCCTGCACCCCTTCAGAACTTTGCCAAGCCTCCTGGGACCCTAAGCAGTACGATATACATTTTTATTAAAGAAAAAATCTACTGGATAAAGGTTTAACCATTGATATACCTGCCAAGCAAAGGAACCAACTATCATCTAAAATTAAAAATAAGCTTCTCTTGATGTGTGCCTCTGATTTGACTGGAAAATTATCAGGAATATTTGAACCCATTTAAAATTAACTCAATCTGGCACTGTAGCAGCAATGGATATTGGCTCTGTAAGGAAATGGTTACCAATTTGGTTTACATGCTATGGATTTCATAGCTCAAATATTTTATTCTGGAAGATGATCAACAGTAAAATTAATCTTTTCATGTCATCTGACATAATGTTTAAAGAAAAATGCGGTATTTTAGGATTAGTACTACCTTATGGAATGCTGATTATTCCAAGAAGCTGTTATTAGAGAGAGCCATAATAGAGACTAAAAGACTTGTTATTCAGGACTGGAAACCAGGATCCAGTTCAGAGGTGGTATACAGAATTACATATAGATTGGCTACACTGGCATAAATAATAAATCCATAATAAAACTGAAGTATGAGCAAACTGCATAGAAAGAGCAAAATATAGTTGGTGGGACAAATAAATTGTTTATATCTTAATGTATTTCAAACATTATAAAAAGAATTTACAGTTTAGGTTGTGAGTTATTTAACAAGTTTATGCAATCAGTTCTTTAAATGACACTTACTTCTGCTTACTGGCTGTGTTTCGGTTACTTTGTCGTTGGTTTGCCATTTCAAAATCCATAAACATTCCACAATGAGACCCTCTGGCAGAAGAATATTGCCTTTCTACATAGTATTGTAAAGCTTTATTAGTGTATTAAATCAAATATAAAAATACCAAATAAAAGCAAGTATATGAAGATCAACAAAACTGTCATGCTGCAATGGACAAGTTCAGTGGACCTTGTGGGACAGGTGGATGATGCCCAGTCACTCCATGGGCTGGATGTGGCCCTGATCCAGCTACGCAGGGGAAAGGGGACATGGCTCGGTCCCCTGGTCTGACTGTGTGGGGCTTGGGAATTCGGCAACAGAGGAAGGGTGGATTTCCACATTTGTCAGCAGCCTTAAATTCTAGTCCCCACCCTTCCTATTGTGTGGGCTTTGAAAACTCAACTGATTTCTAAGGCAGTTCCTAATCAAGGATAATGATGATTAGCTAGCTCAAAGGAAAGCTACACAGATTCATTAGATAATGTTTGTAAAGTGCTTTTCAAAACTAAAATGCTATTTAAGTGCCAAATACTAGCATGGGGTGATCTGTAATTTACCAGACGTAATATCTAATGGATTCAGAAGATTAAGAAGCAGAGGTGACTATAATTTACAATAAATAATCTCTCTTATAGTATGTAGCATAACTGAAAACATAAATATGACATTTTAAAATAAATAACTGTTCTGTACGAGTTTCCAATTAACTTTGCATTTCAGAAAGAAATATAGGAAACCAGCAATATATAAATTCATCTATAGAAAGCTTTAAAAAATGTCCACTCTTATCTGAATCTACACTGCAAAACTTAACATACAGACTTCCACTTTTAAACAATTAGTTAATCTACTCAATTTAGTAGTAAGAACCTAAGGGTTCCTATACATGTGCAGGGAGGCTGTTCCAATGAGCTTTAATTAGAGCGTGATAATTATCACTCTCTAATGGACTCCAGCATCACATGTATCAGCGTCTCCATACTGAAAAATGGTGGCGGGGGCACTTTAAAGTTAATTTTTCACTTTAAAACCAATGCCATTTTTCAGCTCAGGGACACTGCTACATGTAATGCTCCAGGTACTTTAATTAGAGAGACTCTTGGAGCCACTGCAATTAAAGCCCTCCCCCTACCCCGACCCAAGTATTTCTATAAATGGTCTAAAATTCTATCACAGCTAAAATTCTTAATCTACAATCAAAATTGAATTAAACTCTCCTGATGATACACAAGTAAACAAAATTCCAATTTTTTCTTCCACAACTGTGTCAGTCCTGAAATTTTAATAAGAGTAAAAATGTATAAAAGCTTTTAGATACAGATCTTGCACATTGATCCATATGGGTATACTGTTCAAAGATAAATCAGTCTTAGCCAATACAGTAGATTCAACTATGAATGCCAAAGAAAGTGGATCTACTGAGCAATATGATGTTATTGTTTTATATTATTATTTTACTTTTGATTTTCTCTTTTTTGAACGTATCAGATCTTGACAAACAGAGGGCAACATCACAGAAGCAGAAACTTTCAGTTCCCCTGCGCTCCAAATGTGGAAACACAGGATATTAAATGATAGTCTACGTTTTCATACTTTACAAAGTAAACCAATATTAATTAGCTATGTGGCTGTTACAATACTTACACACAAGGGGAAGTCCATCAATATTTTGCATGTAACTCGGACCTTTAGAACAAAGAAGTGAACACTAAAGCTGCTATTTATTTAACGGGGAGGAAAAAAAGGATTGATATTCAGGCACGTACCCATGACTGGTTCCCTTTCATCATCTTTTAGGATTTGCTTTGGCAGTAAGGTACCAATTCTCTCATTTTCTGCATTAATTGCTCTTTGAATTTCTTCTATTTCTAAGTTTTTGGAAACAGGAATTGCTTGTGGCTGGTGTTTTGCATCTCTGTCCTCACTATCATTGCCTTCATCATCATCATCATCATCATCATCAAAGTCATCTTCATAATCCTATTAAAATTGTTTTAATAAGTGTTAAACTTTAATGATGTTAAACATTCAAAATCTAGTTCCACTGAAGTCAGTGGTAAAACTCACTAACTTTAATGACACTATGGCAAGTTATAACAAAATGTCAAATTTATGTTTTCCTGTATGCAACAGAGTATAATGGGACAATACACAAACATTCAAAATATCTACTCAAGAAAAGCCAGAATAGCTGGATTCTAGAAAGCTAAAACAGGTGAAGTTTAAGCAGCTAAAATGCCAAACCTGCTAATGGAAAAGTCAAACTTGGTTACCAGCCTACCCCATCAAAGACCCAATAAATAATATCGTTTACAAGTAAGTTTTTATAAAACAGTTAATTTCCATGGTATTTTCTGGCAAGAAATTTAAAGGTACACTGCCTGTTACTGAAAATGTAAAAGTACACAAAACATGTTCATTCATATTCTTCAATAATTGGGCCTAATCATAACAGTGACTCTAATGAATTGCTATATACAGATTTGAAAATTATTACAAACTGACAAACCCAATTATACATACTTCAAAATCATCTTCATAATTTGTTGAATAGTTATAACCTGCCTCTGCACTGTATGTGTTTACTTCTTCAATTTCCTGAAAAAGGAAAATAGAACAGCAAAATAAATTAAGCCATTACATAACTTTAGAATATATTTATTTTTAGTCTGCCAAAACATTAGCAAAATGCTGTATCTTCTTGAATAATAGTTTTAAATTGTAAAACTAATGATCTACCAATTCAGTTCACAATAGGCATATGCAGCAACAAGTGGTAATTATGAATACTACACAATAAAGGAAAACAAGGTAGAGATCAATTGAACCATGTCCTATGAAAAACAGCTGCTTTTCCTATTATTTTTTTAGAAAAGACTAAAAAGCATTAGCTATGTGTATTTTCAATAGCCCACCCAAAGTTAATAATGTTACCACCTTGGTTTTATAACAGAATAAAAGTACTCTACTTTCCAAAGAACTCAACAAAAAACATTCTTATTATGCTTATCATAAGTGGACTCAAATTTTATTCAAGTAGTCCAGGTTTAGGATTGACAGCTTTGAACTGGGAAATTAAAGTATTGTGCTATGAATTTAACAGGTGAACTGGAAATCTCCATTCAATAATAACTGCATCTATCAAAACCAGACTCATCTCTATGTTAGATTTACAGAGAGAATATTTTTATTATTATCAAAATGGCCAAAAATAAATAACTGTGCCTTAGTCCTTAAACCTTGATCCTTCATCCTCTTCAACCAATGTCTCACTAAATAGTCTTATGAGTCAAAAAGAAAAAGACAGAGTAATCTACTCAATGTTTATACTTTCAGGTTGCACTTTAAAAAGGGATCTTGAAAGAGCATAGGACAGCAATAAAATTAAGAACTTATCGGGAAAAGCCTACTGCACAAATACAATACTAATAATCAGTTGTTTTACAATTAAGGACAATGAAGTATAAACTACTAGAAAGAATAATGTTGTCACAGTTTCCAAGTTAATGGCACTTCTGACTCCTCACAGATTCAGATTCACATTGTTTATCCTATAGTTACATTTGTTCCAGCTAAAAATATTCCTTTTCTGATCCGTACAGGCAAAAATGCAATCTCTAATAAATCCTTAATGACACAGATAGTCTTTATATAATTGATACAAGTCTCTGAATACCCCATGTGTACAGAGCATCTGTCACATGTCAACATAAGACTCTTTGAATGTTTTCAAAACAACACATCTGTCACAGTATTTTCAATACAGTAAAATCTGAGGTCTGTCAACAGTTGTAAAAAAATAGTAAAAAAATCATCCCATTGTCCAACACACTAGAAAGGCTTATGTCCTTTTTCAATTTAGTTGCATTCAAATTATTCTACATAAAAATATTCTGTAGAATTGTATGGGAAAAATGCAAGGTAGGCTATGTAATATTTCCATTGTCTTAAGAAATCAAGAGAAAATGATCCTTACATGTTCTTCCTCACTTGTTTGCCTCTCTTTATTGAACTTAGCGCGTGCAGATACTTTTCTTCTTCAATGTACTTTATAGACAGGAAGGTTCTCACAAACCAACTGAAACCATGCAGAACATTAAATGGCAACAGGAAAATTGATTGGTCTACACTGCACAGACACAGTAGGTTCCATTTCTTGATTTTTTGGCACGTTTCTCTCACAAAATACTAGCTTTGTGAGCAAGTTTACATAGTTGAATGAACCTTTTATTTTTTTTTTACTTCCTTCAATGTCTTATGACCTCACTTTATTGAAAAAATAATTACCTATGTGTTCTAAAACTTCTATTTAAACCAGATCTGCATTCACTAATCTACTAAAAGCCCTTTTAAAAAGATCAGGTACATTAAATAGCCCTGCTTATAACTTTTCTGTTTTAATTACTTTATCATCATTCTTTACTCCATTAGATAAGTGACAATAGATGTGCTCTAGATCCACAGAAGTCAATCAGTCAAATCAGGGGTAGTACTGTATGACTGAAGAATAGTGTAATTGGCTTCTGCTGGTGGGTTTTGCTCCCTGAGGAGCACTCCTAAATACAACAGTCTTTAGGTGACCAACAAGCAAACAAATAAAGAACTAAACCTTTCTGCCCTGTCCCAGGCACTAGGAGGAGAACTCTTGGGCTACAGCTAGGGACCTACCAAAATTGTGATTGAATGATTTTCACAGAAACGGCAATTTCAGGCAGGCTCTGCAAGAAAATGCGGGCTCTGTGATATTAGCAGGCTTGCAGCCAAAAAAAGAAGAAAAAAAGAAAAAACTTACCAGCAAGCAGCAAAAATATGCAAGCAGCCCTCACTGCCCACCCTCCCTATTCCTCCCCTCAAGATGGCACAGCTTCCCAACTTTTTCTCTGTTTGCTGGTGAGTTTGCTTTGGGTTTTTTAGCAAGCCTGCCAAAAATTGCATAGCATGCTGCTTGGGGATGGTCCAAGCATGCTAATGGTAATTAACCACAGCTTAATTACCCTGATTAAGACTGGGGAAGCCATGAATCCAAGCTTAACACAAGGATTAATGGCTTTCCTGGGCTTAATCAGGATAATTAAGCCATAGTTTCAGGCCATACTGCAGTCTACTTGGAGGGGCAGGACTGCCAGGGCCCCTCAGCCAATCAGAGGTGTGGGGGACTCCACCGCATTCAGTCTATGAAAGTGGTGGTCGCCCTGGGATCTGCCTGCAAAATTGGCTGGTTGCCTCCCTGAGTTAGGTAAACCCCTAGTTATACCCCTAGCACAGCAACCTGATCGCTTCTTGTAGCAAGCAGTTTGGCTCACAGGTTGCTCTCTCCTCCTTTGCTTTCTCTTCTGGGAGTTTAAGATTCCTAGTGGGACACTCACTTCCTACTCAAATGCTCTGCTGCAGGGCTCTCTCAACAGGGCTGACTGTTCCATCTTAAGGGAATGGAAAGCCCTGTTACAAATAGCAAATATATACTTATATTTAAGAATAGGAAAAGAAAGCAACCCAGGTAATAATCCTGCTGGTACAGTCTAAGTAACATGCAAGCATTCAAAACAAATTTTGAAAAAAGAATAATTAAAGATATGGAGACAAATGAAAAGTAGGATAAAATACAGTTTTGGTAAGCTGAAATTAGATCATGACAAACTAACATTTTTTTTGCTAAGATAAAGGATTTTCCAAAGAATTTCTATTACAATCTGAAAGCTGATAATTTGGCACAACAGAGGAAGAGAAAGACTTCATTACATTAGGATGACTACAACTGATCAATGTGAGGGACCATATAGAAGTGATCTTGGGACAAATCAGGTGAAGTTTTTACATCAGGGATATGGAGATACTGTTAACATTAGACAAGATACTGGTAAGAACAGTTCTGGTCAATCATGTTCAAGAAAAAAGTTGACCATCCTAGCTATCTATCTTACAGAAAGAGACTAAACCAAATTGGCTTGTTTAGCTTAGCAAGCGATATCTGACTGAGATATGACTGCTGTCATACACATCAGGAAAGATAAACTTCAGAGAAAGAAAAGCATTATTTAATCTAAAGGACAATGCTGGCACAATAAGGAAGAGGAAATAAGTTATAATAAATATGTTTCAATTGGAAATTAGAAGATCATCTCTGGCTTTATTAGGAGTAGCTAGGGCAGAAAACTGAACCAGTTTTAAAATAGAGATTGATACATTTTTTAAAGGAATTATATGAAATAATTTCTTAAAATAGGAGAGGGCTGGACTTAATACAATCTTACTACAGTCTTCCTAAGTTCAACAGGGTTCAGAAGTGGAACTGCCAGGGTTTGGGCCCTGGCCAGCAGCACCAGCTGGGACCAGGCTGGTTGCAGCAGTGGGGGCAGTCGGACCAGCACAGGTGTTGCTTTGTCACCTATTGACCCAAAAGTTCTATGTGTGTAGCTACCAACAGAACCATCCACTACAGAATTTTTGATTTATTGGATGAATTAGTGATGTGGTGTCAAGATTATAAAATTCTTTCCTACATAACTTTGTTTAAAATATACTAAAATGCCGCAATAATTAAACATTCTGTTTTGGTGACTTAGAAGTTCACAACCTGGGTGAAATAAGCAAACAACTATTTTGGTAGTGGTTTTGGAAAACTTTAAAAATGTATTTTGATCCAGTTTGGCCCTACACCTAGTGAAAGCCTTTGCATATTTAACCATCTGTCCTCCTCCTTGCACCAACTGTGTCACTAGGCATATATGAATTTCACTTAAGATAACATGCCAGCTGCAAACTATTTAGCATATTTCAGTTGCTTGCTACTACATAAACTATTTACAGAAAAAATGGAAAGTTTTATATGCTGTGTATCATTAGAAACTTCTCCAAATTTGGGGCTTTATTTTTTCCAAGCATAACATTTTGAGTGAATGACTACATTAAACCAGTAAGCAAATTGTTAAAAAGTGAATCCATTTTCCTATGCTACATCATGTTTACTTAAGAAACTTTTTAATGGACATACATCTTATCTTTTTTTCATTGCACCATCATCTTGAGATAACATCTATAGTCTAGTAATTATGATACTACATAATTCCAGCCAGCGGGGTGCCTTCTAATATTCTGAAATGAATATTTTACCTGTTTTGTATCCTCTTTTTTTCCCTTTGCATAACTCTTTTCTGTATCTTTCACACTCCTAGAAAGAAAAAGAATTTCACTATCAATCTGAATTGAGTCAGAGAAAAATACTACACTGAAGAAAACAGTTCTTAGTATAAAAAGAAAAAAGCAGTGCTGAAACCTGCCAGTAAACTCATATACTTCCACAAAAAAGCTGCCAGCTACTATATTCTTAGCTTCTTAGTGTAGGTCTCATATATGGGACAGTAAGCCTACAGCCAAGTGATTAATCAGTTGAGAACTGCATCATCGCTCCCCAAATATACTGCCAGACAGGTCCTATTACAATTCTTGAACAGAAATTATAGGGAAAATTAAGGAGAAAAATTAATCCTGGACATGTATTTATTATTACTAATACTACTGACACAGGATTGACTTAGCATAATGTGTTCTTATGCAGAAAATCAGAGATTTACATTCCAACCAGGTCTTTTATTTTGAAATTAGGAGAAGTATGAAGACAGCACAATCAGCCCTTGAAAATGAGAAGAAACCAACAAACTTGGTTGCTTTCTGGCAGCCCGTCTTATTATCTTGCAAGTTTCATAGATTTCATAGACATTAGGGATGGAAGGGACCTCAGAAGATCATCGAGTGCAGCTGAGTTTATGAATTTCAAACACAGCCTGCTTCAGACAAAGCAGCAGAACAGTTGTTGAAGACTGTGTTACAGAGAGGGCTGAGGGCATGACAGAAACAAAGAGTGGAAGTAAATAAGTGGGATTTATTCTTACACTCTAGGAAAGAGAAAACCCTTTCATTTTAAGGTCTTTAAAGTATTTAAAATGAGAAATGAAAATTACTTGCCTACAGTTCTGCTTATTTGAAGATAACACTCTGTGAAGTTTCCTTACTTTACTTTGTAAAGCAAGTACTAAATGACTGCACAGTGCCAACTGCGCAATAGGGCGCATGTGTGGACATGCCCCATAAGGCATAATAGGTAGTTTCTTGAATAACATTAATGTTGTAAAAATGCTTACAAAAAGACCCTAATATGCTTCATAGATATGCTGCAGTGAAAACTGCTGCTGGATACTGACATTTAAAAATAAGGTCCACAGTGGTGATTTTATTTGTGACTTTTATATGAGTGACATGTATTGTATACTGTGTGATGATTTTAAACATCTAAATGTACCTTTTGTGCTTGTAGCTGATTTCTATATCTTGTCTTGGGCTCTGTTCTTGGTTTTTGTGCTCACTGTTCTGTAAAAAATTGAAAGAAAAGTTCAATTCATAGTATTCCGATTGTAAGAAATCTAGTGAAAAAAAATATATGAGCTGTTATAACCCTTTTGTAGAATAAAGAGGGTGCTACAAAAATCTTTTATTTCATAAACAACCCATAGGGCATACTGTTTTATTCTTTTTACACTCCATTGCTTGTAAAAGAAACCACTGCATATGAATTGTGTTGGACTAAGGCCCCTTTGAAAGGAAAGTAATTTCATTAAGCAAAGGAAATAGCAGAAACATCAATAAAGCAAATGCTGAATGTAGCTTGTAGACTTGTACTGAAAATATGTAGCTTGTAGACTTGTACTGAAAATGCTGAACATTTGCTTGATCCCTATGGCTAATGCTTGAGCCCTGCTGCATTTCTATATAAATGGAGGAAAGGGGCACAGGAGCTGCTGCTTTTGTGCAACAGGTAGGCTGAATCGTCTAGAACATATAACAGCCTGAGTGAAACCTGTCTGACTTTTAAGAAATCAGCTCCTCAGAGAATTAGCGCATATACTATGGTCTGTAGCATGTACTCAATGGAAGCTGGCAGTACTCTTCTTCATAGGGACAGAAGAGATCAATCCACTGTACATGCCACTGGTTCATTTTGAGGAATCTTGTCCCTGTCAGTTGGATCTTTACAGCACAGAGTTAGTTATTGCCACTGCCTTTTATGATGCTTTGGCCACTTAATCCTTTCTTCCTGAATACTTGGAGCTTGTCTACATTTGGAAATTTACCAAAAAAGTTATTCTAGAATAATGTATACCACAGTAGGTAAAAAATATAACTATAAAATAAAATATAAACAAATTATATGTATATAAAAAAATACAGAAAGTATGAAAAAAATCACATAGATGCTTTTATTCCAGAACAAGAATTCCATTTCCTTGACTTAGCTTAAACTACTTTGGAAATGGATTAAACTAGCTAAATGGTTTAAAACTAAATTCATGGATTAAATTAACAGAGAAAGACATGCTTATTCAGGACTAGAATTGTCCATGCAAAAGTTCAAATATCCTAGAACTACTACATTAGTAAATTTCCAAGGGAATACAAACCTTGCATGAATTGCGGGTAGTAGGCCTGTCTTCATGGCTAAGGAAAAAAATGTTATAAAGGAAGCTGGTATTGACTGATATTTTTAGGCTGTCTAACATTTTCTATTAAAAAAAGATTAATCCAACCTTTTCTTTGAGAAGCTTATACACCACCATTTTTTGCAAAAGAAATGCAATATTCAGCCAGCGTAATACATAAGTGGTTATTTGTCCCACAAAATTTGATTCAGATGTTGCCTGTTATATATTGTAATACCCATCTTTCCATTCTTGTAGAAAAATATTGACAAAAATCACTTGCACTAACAAATGTTGGCTTGTAACACATACAATTCCTGGAACAAGCAGTTTGAATATGATTGGATTGGGGAAAAAGGCTGTGTTGCCCAAAAACCTCTAGATCTAGTTCATTATACCTTCAGCCAAAGGCACAATATGGATCAGGAGTTACACCGGAAACCCTGTGCATGAGAGAAAGAAAGCAGTTTACTGCTTTCCTGGGGACAACAAATGACTCATAAGAGGTGAGACTTACAAGAAGCCTAAGAGAATTATTGTCCATCCCCCATGGAAATAAAAGGGGCTGTTGTGTTATAGTCAACCGTAGATCCTCTGGATCATTGTGTACCCGTAAGAAGTCTAGTCAGGTGCCTGATGAGTCCATTTGTGGTGGACAAGCCCAATTTGACAGCAATACAGTTTGTTACAAATCAATGTGTTGTCTGAGTTGGATTCCAAGTTTACAGCATGTTGATTTCTTCTTTCTCACTTTGCTTCCATCCTCTGGATCAAAGTAGCTTCACACTGTGCTGCACACAGTGGCAGGTGTTCCCACTAGATCAGATGGGATTCTGTGTGCTCGTCCCAGCTTTCTACCATGAATGTCTTCACATCATTTTTACACATCATAGCACTGCCATAGAGGGCAACCCCACTTTCTAGAGCCATCTTAGAATCTCGCCGTACAAAATATTCTTGGGGAAATGGTCTCCTCTCATTCTCCTGGCATGACTGAGCCATCGCAACCTCCTCTTCTTGATAGTGGGTTCTAGGTCTGTCAATCCTATACACTCCAGCACCCGTGTTTGGTATTTTGTCTTCCCACTTTATTTTCAGGATCTTACACAGTCACTCATGTAGAAGCTGTTCAATCCCTTGATGTGCCTAGAACATGTAGTTCACATTTCTGAACCATAAAGCAGGGATGACAGCATGCAAGTCTTTTAGATTTGCATCTTCACCTTAGTTTATTATTCTATGCACATTTCTGTAATAGCCCAGAATTCTTAGCTTTTTCAATTCTGTTAGTCTGTTCAGTCTGAAAGTGAAGATTCCCGATGATCATCGGACCCAAGTAACAAAACTGCTGACAACACCAAGAGATTTTCTCCAGAGTGATGTCAGATATTGGTTCTTCCACCCTTTGGTACATGACCACAGTCTTCTTGAGACTCTGTCAACCCAAAATGCTTGCATGACTCAGAAAATCTGCCCGAAAGATTTTGCAGGGATGATTCACTGTGGGCAACCAAGGCCACATCATCTGCAAACACATTTAACTGTTTTTTTCTGGACAATTTACTAGTATTCTGAAGGGGAGATTAAGTAAGAAATTCATGGTCACAGTACAAGAACTGCCAGACACTGAATTCAAGGCTACATTCATTCTAGAATGCATAAGTATATAACATCAGATGTAATTTTTAGAATAGTGGCACTCAACCTTTTGGCCCCAGGGGCCAGATGAGGCACATGGTGCCAGTCTGCAGACTGAATCAGACCCCTCCTGCTAGGGGTCTGCTAGGTCCTAGGGCCCTGTGCCACCCCTGCCTGCTGAGATTGGACCCTAGACACACCTGCCACTCCCTGGCCAGCCGTGTGCGCCAGGACCAGGCTCCAGGTCCCCTTGTTACACCCAAGTGCCAGGATCAGATCCCCCCATCATCCTGTATGCCTGATCTGGCATGCAGGGCCATGGCCTAGGCTCTCCATATACTTGTGAAGATGACAAGGCACCACAAGCTGGATCTGGCCTGAGGCCCAGGCATTAAGCACCCTATTTTAGAATGTAAGAACTTAAGAAGCCCCATGCTGAGTCAGACCAATGGTCCATCTACCCCACTATCCTTTCACTGACAGTGGCAGTAGCAGATGCTTTAGACAGAGAGCACTGAACAAGTTATATCTAGAGTGCCCACTAACTTAGCTCTGTAAGATCTTTCCGCAGCTTTTCTCCATCAGCTTGGAATTTGACTACCTAGAATAATGTAGTATCATCCCCAAATTTGGAGATTTCACTGTGCACCCCCATTTCTAGGTCATTAATGAAAATGTTGAACAAAACTGGGCCCAGCACAGGTCCTTGTGGAACCCACTTTTAACCTCTTTCCTTCCTGAAATTGTGACCATTAGACTCTACTCTTTGCTTCCTATCTTTCAACCAGCTCTTGAGCCACAAACCAACCTTCTCCTCTAATCCTCTCGCAGCTCAGGTTTTATAAAAGTCTTTGGTGATGGGCCTTGTCAAACACTTCAGGAAACAGCAAGATATGTAGTCTCATGAAGCAAAGATTCAGTGAAAATTTACCATTTGAGGCATTATCTCTTCATGTTCACATTACTAAAAATTAACATATACTTCTATTTTAATAAAGTATCATCATGACAGAGTTAAAAAGTATCAAAACTTCACAAACACTAACCTTAAGATCCCTCTTCTTTCTTTCACTTTCCTCTCCTAGCCTTCTTTCACTGTTCTCCCTTGGTTGGCTTTCTCTACTTTCATAGTAATATCCTTCTTGACGTCTCTTTGCTTCATGTTTTTCTTCCACATGCTTTTCAAAGGACTTATGACTTGTGTCTTTTGAGTGTCTTTCTCTTCCTGCCTTAACTGAATGTTCATGTTCTCTTTTTTCTCTGTGCCTCCTCTCTCTGTCTTGATCTTTATGTGACATATGCCTACGTTCACCTTCATCTCTATATGTTAAAAATTTGTCAAGAGCATCTTTGCTGCTGCTATTCTGGAAAAAAAAAATATAAATTAGAATTCTTGGAAGATCTGTAATTAAAATAAGAGAAGTACTGTAATTCTATAATTCTAGAAGTTAGGAATGGATAGATCTACCAGAAAAGCACTTTCTGAACAATATATTATTAAGTATTGTATCCAATGACATTTCAAATTACAATAAAACTAGGGCTTCCAATACTACTTCTAGGAAACTGCATATCTCATTATAACTATAAGAACCTGTTTAGATTATGAATTCTTTACAAATAATTTTTACTCTTTGATTTGTTGTGCATGTATTCTGTAATCAAATAGGATATATACCTATAATACTTTATAAAAATAAAGACCGAAGTAACAAGTAAAACCTTTTAATGTGCATTTGTTAGGATGATGCTATACACAAATAAACTAGAGCAGTTTGCTTTCTGACTGTGTTTAAAGCAAAATGACTCCCTGAAGATTATTTATGACAATACCTAAAACAAATCAAATTTAAAATATTTTACTTATGAAATTACAGGATGCTCCACCTTTAATAAATACAATTAAGGAATTATTCAAATAAATACTTGTAAACAACAAACAATATGTAAGAACATACTATACACATATATTTTGGATTAGTCAGGTGCTGGAGACTTCCTGATGTCCAGTCTGTTATCTTTCACCATTCTCACGCCATCATAAAACACTTAATTTCTTTCCTCAGTTTACCTTTCTTTCTGTATGACTTCTTTCTTTCTCTTCATCTCTCGCTTTTGTGTTGTCTTCTAAAATATTTTAAATGTGAAATTAAAAACATATTTTGTTAGTAACATTCAAGGCCCTAAGTATGCACATAACAACTTAGACTTCATATTGGAAGCTTATTCTACAGTTCATTGACACAGGTGTTAATGTAAATAGAGCTCCTACCTTCCTTTCAGTAGAATGTATAAATGTAAAATAAAGTTCACATCTATCACCTTCTTAAGGTTTGAATTTATTACTAGCAAAGAATAAAACAACATATATTTCTGCCTAAATTTTCTCCCTGGGATTGGCTGTTCCTAGGGTTTTTCCTGAAAGATCTCTCTGCTCTTGTGAGAGGCTTTGTTTCCTACCAAAATCAAGGATACTTCCACCTGTCAGTCATCAATAAGTAGGAACTTACAGAAATTGTGAAATCCAGAATTGACTGTTTTGCAGGCAATGTCCATGAAATCCACAGGAATAATAATTAAAAAACAACCCTAATAAAAATAAAATGCTGGCTCCCCAGAGAGAGACAGCAGTGCAATCTGATGGGGGTGTGGGGAGGGATGACTGCCTAGTGTGAAGGGCAGCCCAAGATGGACAGCCCTCAGCCATTCAGCAGTGAGGGGCGGGGCCATATGATGGACAGCCCTTGCAGCTGATCAGCAGCAAGGGGTGGGGCCAGAGGCATGGGGGTCTCACTGTAATCAGCCCATGAAAATGGTGGCTAACCCTGCACTCTCCCTGAGAAATTGGCCATCCAACTCCTTGTGTTAATGAGACCCCTATCAATAAGCATGCTGTTACTTCAGGTACGCAGGGCTCAGGTACCTAATGGAAATGTCCCATATATTGCCATGGTTTAGTCTGCCATTCAATTAATTACCAAAAATTGTTATTGTCATTACTACCATCAGTAACTCAGTGAGAGGAAATCTTTCAGGTTATAATCAGCCTTGAAAATCTCCACATTTTATTTTTAAAGGTACATGTGATAGGCGGCCAAAGTCCATCGTCTTTATATTCTCAGTCCGTTTTTAACTATAAGCACAAGTGAAATACTTCAAAATATATAAAGCAAAGCAAGCCACATACCTAAATGATCCTTGCTCCCTCTCCTTCTGTGATGGCCCTTTTCCCTTCCTTCATGTGCCCTCTGGTCACTCTGTATAAGCATCTGCTTCAAATGATCCCTTTTTTGTTTTCTTTGTGCTTCCTTATCACTCTCCTTTTCTTTTTCTCTTCTTGTACTATATTTTTCCTTCTCTGCATCTTTATCTTTAACTTTCTCTCTCTCTCGTTCTCTGTGATGATCTTTTCCCCTTTCTCTCTCCCGCAATTTTTCCCTGTCTCTCTCACTAGATTTAAATCTTTCTCTTTCTCCCGTCCTTTCTTTGGTCTTTCCTCGGTCTTTGTCTTGATCTCTGTATCCTTTGTAATCAACCGTGTCATGAATCTCTCTCTCTCTTTGCAATTTCTTTTCTTTGTGTTTCTTGTCTTCAGACTGACTATCTGATTGTGACACCTAAAGATTAAAAACAAAAATTAATGCATATTTATAATTTAGGAACTCTGTTCCGATGGCTTTCTGCACCCCAAAAGATGCACAGATTTTGGAAAGAAAAATGTTGACCAACAGCCATCATGGAATATTATTTTATTTTAATAAGTAAATTGTAAGAGATTAAGTAGCAAAACTCTCATTGACTCCAGTGGGGCTAGAATTTCTGTGCTACCACAATGCAGACACAGGGCTTTCTTTTTTAGGCTATATTCATGGATTATAACAAATAAAACCTCTCTCTTACTTGGCTGAAGAGCTCAGTCACCAAATTTTTGCTGGCGGGAAAAAAACCCTAGTACCTAGACATTTAAGCCAACTTCTCCTGCTTGGGCTGAGAGTTACTTCCACTAGTGTAAAAGAACCAACTTATTATACAACATTCTGTACAATCATAAAAATAAGGATGCTAGCTCTGTGTAAATAATATAGGCTAGCCCATGCATACAGCCTCCCCACTGAAATTTCTTTCTTAACTAAAAAGTATGCAGTAAGTTTGCATTAAGTGATTTGTAATTATTAGAAAACTTTTTTCTTAATACACAATCTAACTGAATCTAAATCAAAAGAACTTGTTGTCTTTGCATCTTAAACATATAATTAATTTCACTAAAGGTGGTCCAGAAAACACCTAAACTGATCTTCACTAATTTATAAAAAAAGAAAGTTACCCTAAGATGTTTCTTCAGTTCATCTGATTTCCAGGTATCTTCTCTGGTTCTTCTCTGGAAAAAATACCAACATAAACAAGTTTAAGGAAGACTGAATTATTGAGTTCAGATTCAAAGAAAACCACTTTCTATATTATTAAATAACAAGTTTTCTAATGGCTATTTCCAACTAAAAACTCTTTGTGCCTAGGTATTTCAAGACTGTAATTTTTTCCCTCATAAGGGATTTAACACACAGTTAGCATTTTCTGAGCACTGAAGTATAGGCAACTGTCAGTACTCTGGGTCATGGTATACATGCAGGAACTTCAGCTAGGTGTCTGACAAATCTGCCTGTGGCCAACAAGCCCAACTCAAGACCAACACAGGTTGTTACAAGTTTTTAACGTGTGAGTCACTATGCTTTATTTTGGCTAGGATAGACTGGATGGGGGCATGGCTTTTTAGCCCACCTTTTCTAGGGCACACCTCAGGCAAGACAAGCAGGCCACCCCTGAAAAGGGCTGCTTGAATGCCTTGATAGCTGGCTCAGGTTACTTATACCCCTTACAGAGTCCTGTGACCAACACACCAAGACCTTCAATGTGTATACACAGGCAAAGGTATGGAGGAATGGAGGCTGCCCTAAACCTACCAACCCCACTTTACCACTGAGACAGAGTCCAAAGGCCATACTGAGTCTAGATGTTCAGTGCCTCAATGGATGTAGCTTCTTCCAGAGAGCAACAGATAGAGCTGCTGCTGACTGCCTAACATCTCAGCGAGAGCATTTTGTCGGAGCGACGTCTCTTAGCCCTAACTTCAACCAAAGAATATCTGCATGGCAGTGGGGGTAAGGGTTTTAAGGTGTCCTATACTCACCTTACTCCAGAGATTGCAATACTGGTATTTTATAGGAGTTACCATGCCACAAGCAGCCCCACCATCTTGCCACCAGCTTCTCCAGTCAGTTTATGGTCACACCCAGAACCATACCCAGCACTGGAGTACAACAAAATTAAACTTAAATCACAGTATATTCCAAGCAAAATGAACACAGAAGCTGTTACTTGTGGCTTTGTACATGCATTCATTTCTACCAGCAAAATTTTCAGAGAAATTCTTACAGGTAGAAAACAGTCTGGGAGGTGCATTCCAGACCCAGGCTGGAGAGCTACACTACAGGGGGCACTAAAGGGCTGCTCCCCGGGTCCACCCCTGACTTAAGGGAGCCTATTACTTGACAACCTGTCCTCTCCCCTTCCCAGGCAGGGGAGAGGCTGCCAACAGACAGCCCACGAGCTTTTAAATCACCTTGTATGCAGCCCATCTAGGCTGCACGTGGGGTGATTTAAAGCCGGAGGAGCAGGGAAGCGGGGCTAGAAACCTCTGGCTAAGTAGCCTTTTCTCCAACAGGAGGTAAAGTCGCTCTCTCAGGAGTGGAACTGGATACTAGCTCCTTGAGTCAGGGCCATGGAGAACCAGAGGAGGCTGAGAGACCATAAGGCTGAGGTCTCAGAGTGGGAAGGAGCAAGGGCTGGTTTCAGGGGTCTCTCCCAGAGATTGGACAAAGCTGCACACGGTTCTGGGGAAGCATGCCCTGTAGGGCACTCTGTGACATATTTACACCTTATGCTCTAAAATACAGCCTTATAGTTTCATAGTAGCTAGGGTCAGGAGGGACCTGAACATATCATCTACCCTGACCCCCTGCCACAGGCAGGAATGAATGCTGGGTTCACACAGCCCCGGACAGGTGATCATCCAACCTCCTCTTGAATTTGCCCAAGGTAAGGGTGAGGACCACTTCCCTGGGAAATTGGTTCCAGATTTTGGCAACCCTAACTGTAAAATATTGCCTTCTAATCTCTAACCTAAACCTATTCTCCATCAGCTTATTGCCATTGTTCCTCGTCACACCAGGTGGTGCTGGGGAAAAAAGGGCTCTACCTATTTGCTGTTGATCTCCCCTGATGAGTTTGTACAAGCCACCAGGTGCCCCCTCAGCCTCCTCTTGCTGAGGCTGAACAGGTTCAGGTCTCTCAGTCTCTCCTCGTAGGGCCTGTCCTGCTGCCCTCTCACCAAGCAGGTGAACCTTCTCCAGGCTGGCCACATCCCTCTTGAAGTGTGGCGCCTAGTACTGGACGCGGTACTCCAATTGCAGCCTGACCAAAGTCGCATACAGGGTGGAGTATCACCTCTCTGGACCAGCTTGAGATGCATCTCTGGATGCATGATAAGGTATGGCTGGCCTTGCTGGCTGCGGTCTGCCATTGGCAGCTCATGTTCATCTGGGAGTCAATAATGACTACAAGATCCCGTTCCGCCTCTGTGCTTTCAAGAGGGAGCTCCCCAGCCTGTATGTATGCTGTGGATTCCTTTTCCCAAGGTGCAGCACCCTGCATTTGTCCACGCTGAACCCCATCCTATTCTCATCTGCCCATTTTTGTAGTCTGTCTAAATCAATTTGCAGCCTCTCTCTCCCTTCAAGTGTGCCCACCTCGCCCCACATCTTAGTGTCATCAGCAAACTTGGACAGCGTGCTTTCCACCCCCTCGTCCAAATCGCTGATGAAGATGTTAAACAGTGAGGGCTCGAGGACCAAGCCCTGGAGTACCCCACTGCTCATATCTTGCCAGGCTGAGTACAACCCATCCACCACTACTCTCTGGGTGTGCCCCATCAGCCAATTTTTTACTCATCCAACTTAAGGACACGCATGATCAGATTCAGAATTCTGACAAGGTTAAGGTAGAAAAACTAAATGAGAACTAACAGGTAGAACATTTTGAAAAGAGAAAAACAATAATAATCGTAATAGACCATCACTAAGCAGTACTGTTTACTGAAGTAAAATTCATGGAACTGAGAAGTTGCTTGAAAACCACTAAATTGGATCATAACTGTCCTCTAAAATACATTAAAAAAATACTAGAAGACTGAGAAACTGATAGAAAAGAACATGTATATTGAACAAAGACTAAAAAATTAATTCCGGTATTAACCAATTAAGGGATGGCTTCCTGATTTGAATCACACGCTGTACTAAGGTTCCAATAAGAGATCACTTATGAACATTTTTAAACATCTACAGCATGTGCTAATCATGTTTGATAAGTTGACAAATTATTCATCATTTATTACATTATTAGTAGAAGGAATAATAGATGGTTAAAAGCAACCTATTATATGCCAGATTTTATACCCATGTATAACAATTAATTAACCATTTAAAAACATTATTAATTGTCTACTAATTATTTATAGGCTATTTATCACTGAGACTTTAATATAAACTGAAATAATTATTTGGTGCTCTGTGGCTGGAATAATATTTCCCAGGTATTAAAAGACTTATTGAAAAACTTGTTTGTTAGCATGCAAGTCCTTTGGAATTCAACTTTATTTCTCTTATCTTCCTCCACTTATAAACTAGAAAAACACTAAATTATTGTTACAAAAGCTTCCAGGAAAAGTACATGTTGTAAGGACAGCCTAAGAAACCAGCTTCTTGCAGTAAAGGATGATCCACATTTGAGCTTGATTTGGAATCCCTAAGAGTTAGAGGGGATAAAACAAATTAAAAATAAAACCTTTTTTATGTAGATTGGATTACCTTGATTTAAATTAAATACCACTTCTAAAAATAAACACTTAAACATCATTTGAAATTGAGAGCAGGGGACAGATACTCAGCTGGTATAAAATGCCACAGTTCTACTTAAAAAAATGAAACTATATATCAGCAGCTTGTCCCATAACATATGGCAAAAAAGACAGCTGAGCTGCTACTAACTCAGCTGATCAGATGGTTTTGTTACTTTTAACAAGCTAAATTAAAGAGCAGGTTTGAAGAGCAAATAAACTTCTTATTAGAGATAGTACTCAAAAATATGCCTAGAGAAGCTACTACAGTCAAGGAAGCAGGAGGAGGTCCTTTGTACTCTATAGATCAGTTTCCATTTATAATACAGAGAGTCTCAGATGGGAGAACATAAATTATGCTATCTTTGATTCTTTTTAACTGAAACAGTAAGAGGCTCATTTCTTCAATTAAGACACACTGTCCGTTAGCATGACTGCCTCTGGCCCTCTGACAGTTGGGCTTGTGTGGCATTGTTTCACTTATCAGGATAATTATTGATCATATATGCTAGCTAAGAAGTTGGAGAAGTAATGAAACTATTGCAACACCACATGAATCACCATATCATTTTTAATGTGATATACCTTAAGTACATGTTAAATAGCATTATTCATGCAATTGTAATGGCATTGCCAAGTCATTACATTCACTATGTAAACCTACATAAGTCTAAATATAGCTAAACAAACTAAATGTGAAACCTAGAGCTACCAAATGTTAATGTGCCAAATTGTGATAAAATTACATGATTATGGCATACAGAGATTTAACTAGTTTTCTAGTGAATGCCAGAGTTTTTCATTTTGGTGTTTTATAACTTTTTCAAATATTGCCATAGTAGTACAACATTAATGTTAAGTGTGGGGACTCCCACAGAAGTATAAATAAAAAACTGTAGTCACAAATAATAAAAAATTTTATCTAGACTCCAAGAAACAGCCATGCTTCCCTATTTTCAAGAAACTACAGTATCTCATTATCAAAGTCTAGATGTGTGGGCCCAATTCGGTACGTACCCAACTGGATCCTGATTCTGCTGCAAGGGGCTGGGGCCCAGTCTCACCACATGGCAACGGTCCACCCAGGGACCCAATCCTGCCATATGGCAATGGCCTATCCAGGGCCCAGTACTGTTGCTTGAGGCTCCATGGGGCCTGACCCCTCTGTGCAGGGCCAGCCCAGTTGAAGCTGATCCAGCCACATGGAGCTTAGAAATTTGGTGGCAGGGGAGCAGTGGCAGCTTTAATTGCTAGCACTCCCATCACCAATTTACCAGACTTGTGGGGAACCCCATGGACTGGAAGATGTGGCTCAGCAGGCTGAATCTGGCTTGTGGACTGGGGGTTAAGCACCTCTGCAATACTGGGATCATGGTAAGGAAATCAGAAAAATAGGATTGGAAGGGACCTCAGGAAGTCATCTAATCTAACCCCCTGCTAAAGGCAGGACCATCCCAGCCAAGTGTTTAACATTTTCCAGTAATGGAGATTTCACATCCTCTGCAGGTAATGCATCATGACAGCTTGACCATCCTCATATAGTTACAAAATGCTTCCTAATATCCTATCTCAATCTCCTTTGTTGCAATTAAGCCCATTACTTCTTGTCCTGCCCCTGTAGACAGAGCAAATAGATGATTACTATTCTCTTTATAAACAACTTTTAAAATGTATGTATATTTGGAGACTGTTATCAAATTCTACTCCCCACCCCCATCTTTCTCTTCTCCGGATGAAATATGCCAATTATTCTGCACGTGTTGTGCTGTCTAGGCCTCCAATCCTCCTCTCTGCCAGACTCTTCGCAACTGTCCTTCCTGAACCACCATGCCCAGTGTCAGACACAGGCCTCCCCAGAGGTGAGCTCCCGCACCTCGCATGTGACACGCTTGCCTGCATGTCACAGACTCACTGAGAAGGGACCTCCAGAGGCACCAGTGGTGCTCAACCTTTGCCTTGGCAAGCCGGTAGGGTTGCCAACTCAGCCTGAAGCTATTCTGGGAGATCCGTGCCCCCCCCAACATATTATATTAATTTACTTTCTTAACATATCCTATTAAAATCTCTGGAATCACTTTCAGCTGTCACTGGGTGATTGATGCTGATTCCTGGCCAATCTGGGAGGGCCGGCAGGTGGGCAGTGCCCAGTCTACCCACAGCCCTGATCCGGGGGACACGGAGGCCAACCAGGTTCAGGCCCCGGGGGCAGAGGACATGGCCCAGCCCCGGCTCAACCCGGTGGCAGAGGGAAGGGCCCGGCCTCACCTCCACAAACCGTGGGGAGAAGGGGACCCGGCTTGGCCCTGCTCTGCCTGTGTTGGGGTGGGGCGGGGCGAGGGGAGGTGGCAGCAGTCACTGGCACGGGGGACCCAGCTTCCCCACTCCCCGCCTGCGACTCGCAGCCCCCGGGGAGTCCCGGCCCGGCCCACCCTCACCTTGTCGGGCTCCATGGCAGGCGAGCCGTAACCACGGCAACTGCGTGCAAACTGCCTAGCAACGGGCAGCGCAGTCGGAGCAGCCGATCGGCCGAGCGCTCGATCCGCCCCTCCGTCCCGAGCCGCAAAGGATTGTGGGACTGGCGCTGCGTCCCGGGCGCGCTTCCCGGGTGTGGCAGGTGCGAAAGGCTGTAGCTCGGGAGCGGGAGCGCTGCTCTCTACTCCGGCCCGGGAGGAGACCCTGCCTAGGACCTTGTTACACTCCCCTCCTGCCACATTTTCATCCAGCCGCATGACATGGCTCCACAGGCTGCGCTTCACCCCCTTGGATTAATTTAGAAATTCGGAGCCAAAGTAGGGCAATTTGATAGAGACATTTAACTTGATTAGATTAGGCAGCACAAATGGTACACGCTACCCAAAGGCTGGAGAGAGACAGTAAGTTGGAGCAGTTCAACTGTGTCAATGCATTTCTCTTTGATAGTTAAGGAAGACACCAAATGAATTAAATTTGTAAGATAGAACGTGAAGATAACAGCCTTACAGAAAACTTGAACAATATAGTAGCCTTAAAGAATATTGGTTCCCTGGATACACCTGTCTTTTGTTTAGTATAACTATATGAACCTACGCGTGTCTCTGCTTCCAAGTACAGTTCAGCTCTAGTTAATGACGACGGTGTTTTGTTTTTTCCAAGCACACACTTTAGTCAATGCCATCTTATGGCAGGGATGGAAAGCACCAGTATGAGGGTGACTGTGTGGATTTGGCATAGGGCCTTTCAAAACCAAAGCTCACACACTAATCATAAAAAATTAGCAAGCAAGAATGCAAGTCTGGAGATCTCACATCTGATAGAATTTAAAATCCATTGGATCTGATCTTTAGACATTTTAATTGTAATTTAAAATAAATTTTACATTTGCATTGTGGGCAAGTAATACAATACATTAGCAGTTTTTACTACTAAATGATGAAAACAAGACTTAATGAGTGTTTTTGAGAACATTTTCTTTATAGGCATTGAAAAGTACAACTAACTTGAATCACTAGGGGGTACACAAGCATAGTGCCACTATGAAGAAAATGAAATGGTAACTTTAGTAGTGCTAGGATTACATATAAATTTTGTGTCCACACGTCCTTATTGCATATTTCTCCCTCTTTTCTCCTCATGTTATCATCCTCCTGCACACCTTACTCTGAAAAATAAGAATGTAAATGGTGAACTGAGCAGTGTATGGTATTGCCTTACGGTGGTCTTCTAATGCCTCCAGACAGAATGTACTGCCTTTAATCCATTCTCTTCCAACCAATTCTGATGAAATGGAGTAGGTAAATAGTGCAAATCCCAGGTCAGGAGTAATGTTTGTGATACCAATGTAACAGTGCTGCCCACACTAAAGACTACATTCGAAACACTTTGATATCTTGGAAACTGGATAAAGTAACACAGAAAGAGACGCTCTTATTTGAGTCCATATATGCAGCTATACTGATGTAATTATACCAGTAAATTTCCCGTGTGGATTGAACAACAGAAGGAATATATTTGTGATTAAATGTCTCACTTACGAAAGAGAATAGTGTAGAGTTGGAGGGGGGAGACGTGTGTGTGTGTGTGTGTGTGTGTGTTCTCTCTTTTTTTCCCTCTCCCAACTTTTTCCTTCTACATATACTGTTTCTTGTCATATTCTGACTTACTGAGATTGGCATAAAAGCCATATTAAATGTGGTTCTAAAAGCAAGTGTATGAATTACCTCTAGGTAATTCTAGATGTTCTTAACTGTTACAGTAATCAAACTTCCAGGTTCAAGCAACAGGAAGCAGACATTGTGCTAAATATTTAGGTCAACAACTAAAATATACACCCTGAGAAACACTGAAAAAAGCTCACTAAACTACTAGGGGAAAAAGAAGAATGAGAGACTATAATAAAGGTGCAGCATATGAAATAATAATAATGAAACAGATCTGGGTGTTCCTGTATTCAAGAACAAATAGCATTTTATGACCTAAAGTGTTACCTAATATACAACCTGTGCAGTCATTCTGAAGGCAGTGTATGTAAAGGACAGTCTGATATGCCACCTAGGCTTAGGAGTCTATTTGAGAAAAAACATTTATACAGTGACCCACCAACCTAATGCAGAGGAGTTTAACTGGTTTTGATAGGGGCCAGTGACAAAAGCACACAAGTGAAAACAAAATGTACTAACCTAGCCTTAGCGTTGGAATCTAGTGGTTGAGGAGAGCAGAAATTGGAATCCCCAATAGGGCCATAAAAGAAACAAGAATGAAAATTTCAAGGAGTCTGTTGAAAATTTGTATGTAGATGTCTATAGAAAACCAAAACCATAGAACAGTGGTGCTCAATGTTGTTGTCCAGTGGGCCTGGCCTCTTCCACAGGCTGGATCTGGCTGCTGGACCCAATCCAGTGGCTGGGGCAGGTGCAGCAGGGCCCCATCCAGCCATATGGGGTTATGGAGAGGAGTGGGAGGCAGGCTGGGCCCGGTCCAGTCATGTGGGGAAAGGAGGCTTGGCTTGTCCCCAACCAGCCCTGTGGGGGGAGCGGACATGACCTAGCCGTGATCTAGCTCATGGGAGAAAGTGGCATAGCTTGGCCCCAACCTGGCCAGGCAGGAGGAAAGGGGCGTGGCCCAGCCCCACCAGGAGAGAATGATCCAGCCTTGAGCTTAAGGACATGTGGCCCGGCCCAGCGGGATGAAGGGGGTGTGGCCCAGGCACAGTTGGGAGTGAGGTGACATGGACTGGCCCTAAACCAGTTTCACAAGGGAGTGGGGGCCTGGCCCCACCCCAGCTTTGTGGAGGGAAGGGGGCATGGTCTAACCCTGATTTGGCTATATGGTAGAAGGGTCATACCCCAGCTCCAACCCATAGTGCACGGCTTGGGATTTTGGCAGCAGGGGAAGAGTTGCATTATTAACTGTCACTGCTCCCCCCCCCACCAAATTTCCTGAACCTTGGGGAGCTCCGTAGGCTGGATACTAAGATTCCACAGGTCGCATTTGGCCTGTAGGCCAGAGGTTGATCCCCACTGCTATGGAGAATGAACAAGGTAAAGTAAGAGCCTAGATGTGTGGCTACTTTAGGTTTGGTTTTGACTAATAGGAAGGAAGTGGCATGGAGGTAATTTGGATGGAAGTGATCATAAAATGTTACTTAACCGTGCTAAGGAAAGGTATGAGAGCACCAGAACAAGAACAATAGCCTTCAAAGAGCAGACTTTAACAACTCAAGGGATCTAATAGTTAGATCCCTTCCGACCCTAACAACTGTGAAACTATGAAGACTTCTCTAAGTAGATCAAGTCTGACCCCCTGCCATGGGCAGGAAAGAATGCTGGGGTCAAATGACCCCGGCTGGGTGATTATCCAGCCTCCTTTTGAAGACCCCTAGGGTAGGAGCGAGCACCACTTCCCTTGGAAGTTGGTTTCAGATCCTTGCCGCCCTGACCGTGAAGTAGCGCCTCCTAATATGTAGCCTGAATCTACTCTCAGTCAACTTATGGCTGTTAGTCCTTGTTACTCCTGGTAGGGCTCGGGGGAACAGGTACTCTCCCATTGCCTGCTGGTCCTCCTTGGCCAGTTTGTAGATGGCCACCAGATCCCCTCTCAGCCTCCTCTTGTGGAGGCTGAACAGGTTCAGGTCCCGTAGCCTCTGCTCATAGGGCCTGCTTTGTTGCCCCCTGATCATGTGAGTGGCCCTCCTCTGGACCCTCTCCATGTTATCCACATCCCTCCTGAAGTGCGGCGCCCAGAACTGGACGTAGTACTCCAGTGCAGCTGACCAGTGTCACATAGAGGCGGGGGATCACTGCCTTGGACCTGCTCGTGATGCATCTATGGATGCATGACAAGGTGCGGCTAGCTTTCCTGACCGCGTCCTCACATTGTCGGCCCATGTTCATCTTGGAGTCAGTAATGACTCCAAGATCTTTTTCTGCCTCTGTGCTGATGAGAAGGGAGGCCCCCAGCCTGTAGGTATGGTGCTGGTTCTTCCTCCCCAGGTGCAATACCTTGTACTTGTCTGTATTGAAACCCATCCTGTTCTCATCCACCCACCCCTGAAACTGGTCCAGATCTAGTTGTAGCCTGTCCCTCTCCTCCAGCGTGCCCACTTCTCCCCACATTTTAGCGTCATCTATGAATTTGAACAGGGTGCTTTTCACCCCCTTGTCCAAGTTGCTGATGAAGATGTTGAACGGTGCAGGCCTGAGGACTGAGCCCTGGGGGACCCCACTGCCCACATCCCTGCAGGTCGAAGAAGACCCATCCACCACCACTCTGGGTGCGGCTCTCCAGCCAATTTGCAACCCATCTGACTGTGTAGGCATCAACACCACAGTCGCCTAATTTCTTAATGAGAATGGGGTGAGAGACAGTGTCAAAGGCCTTCCTAAAGTCTAGAAAGACTATGTCCACCGCGACACCTGCATCCAAGGATTTTGTGACCTGGTTATAGAAGTTCACCAGGTTGGTCTGACAAGACCTGCCCCTAATGAACCCATGTTGGATGCCCCTAAGCATGATCCCCCCTGCTGGTCCCTTGCAAATGTGCTCCTGGATAATTTTCTCAAAGAGCTTCCCTAGGACCAAAGTAAGACTAAGAGGCCTGTAGTTTCCTGGGTCCTCCTTCCTCCCTTTTTTGAGAATGGGTACCACATTGGCCCTTTTCCAGTCCTCTAGCACCTCTCCAGAGCACCATGAGTGCTCATAAAGCTGTTCCAGGGGTCCCACAATGACCTCTGCTAATTCCCTCAGCACTCCGGGGTGGAGATCATCAGGACCTGCTGATTTGAACACGTCTAGTCCCACCAGAAGTTCCCTGACTAGGTCCTCACTGACCCTGGGCCTGGCAGCACCTCCCCTGGGTCCGTCAGGGATCCCGGTGGTGGGGGGATGCCCTGGTCCCTGCTCAAAAAAATGGAGGCAAAGAAATTCTTAAAGAAATTCTTAAAGAGCTAACCACCAGATTTCCTATGGTGTCCTGCAGAGGCCCTACATTACCCAGTGCCTTCTTTTTACCCCCTATGTATTTAAAAAAGGACTTCTTGTTATCCTTGATCTGGGTTGCTAG